TAGCCCATCTAGAGGATGTCTAAAGGAACTCATAAGAACCCATCTAGTAACTTCTAACACAACTCATATATAGCCCATCTAGAGGATGTCTAAAGGAACTCATATAGATCCCATCTAGTAACCTCTAACAGAACTCATATAGAACCCATCTAGAAGACGTCTACCGGATCTCATACAGAACCCATCTAGTAACTTCTAACAGAACTCCTATAGAACCCATCTAGAAGACGTCTAACGGAACTCATACAGAACCCATCTAGTAACTTCTAACAGAACTCATATAGAGCCCATCTAGAGGATGTCTAAAGAACTCATATCGAGCCCATCTAGTAACTTCTAACAGAACTCATATAGAACCCATCTAGTAACGTCTAACAGAACTCATATAGAACCCATCTAGTAATTTCTAACAGAACTCACATAGAGCCCATCTAGTAACGTCTAACAGAACTCATATAGAACCCATCTAGTAATTTCTAACAGAACCCATTTACTAACTTCTAACAGAACTCATATAGATCCCATCTAGAGGACGTCTAAAGGAACTCATAAAGAATCCATCTAGTAACGTCCAAGAGAACTCATACAGAACTCATCTAGTAGCTTCTAACAGAACTCATATGGAACCCATCGAGAAATTTCTAACAGAACTCATATAGAACTCACCTAGTAACGTCTAACAGAACTCATCTAGAGCCCATCTAGAGGATGTTTAAAGAAACTCATACAGAACTCATTTAGTAGCTTCTAACAGAACTCATGTAGAGCCCATCGAAGACGTCTAACGGATCTCATATAGAACCCATCTAGTAACTTCTAACAGAACTCATATAGAACCCATCTAGTAACTTCTAACAGAACTCATATAGAGCCCATCTAGAAGACATCTAACAGAACTCGTGCTTTTATTTTATTCTCTATATTTTATCCGCGGCTGAGCGGCTCATAAAACGGCTCTGAGCATTTTTTTTTTTTAAGTACAAACATTTAGCTCATAGCTCCATCATCTCTTGACTGATTTGACATCTAATTACAGTTTTGGACTCAGGAGGTCAAACCCTTTCGATTGATGTACTTGACAACGCCCAAGGTCTAATATATTTATTTTAATCCTGGCTAAAAGAATTTCAATTTGAGGTAAGGTTAGTAGAAATGGTGATGAATAATAAAATCGAATCGGGTATACGCGCGCCCTACTCTTGGTATTGCTGCCGCACAAAAATATAGCTAATAAAAATGTAAACAAAGGTCTCATAGATTAATTTACTCTAATTCTGCCTAAAAGAATTCCAAGTGCCGTAGTTATAGAGGATTCTCTCTTGTTATTAATTTGAATCTTAATAAGCATTTTGTTATTCTTGTATTATGTATAAATTTGAATTGTTCAGAGCTTTTATTGCCACTTACAACAAAAAAACTCTGTCAATTTAAGCTTGGAAACGTCCGTGAGAGGGCGTGTTAGTAGAAGGATAACCTAAACCGAGATCAGGGTGCAGTTAAAAAAACAAAATAACGATATGAGAACACTGAGCTTTACAGGTTCTCTAGCATATTGATTCAGCAACAGAACGTGTTCACAAACAGAGCAAAGTTTTTATCCCTGAGAGAGGCGACTGTATGAAATGTGATTAAATATAGAAACGCATGCCCTAATTATATATCTAAATAACGCAAAGTAAAATTATCTTTAGAACTTGAGATCCATATTGTCATTAAACCTATAAAATGAAGAACGCGTGTTCTTGGATATTTGTGAATCCAACTATTTAGATAAATACATATCAACATGACTTACAGTTGAATTTCTTTATATATACTTGTATTCTATATGTATATATATAAAAGTGTGTTATAACATATAAAATATATATACTTGATCTAATCCTATTACTATACGAATCTCGCTCGTTGACCGTGTAAAAACGTGGATCAAACCAGCTGAGTTAATCATAAAACCAGATGAGAGGTTATGATTCTCGGCAATTGCTACTAA